TTAATAGTTTCCTGATTACCGCTATTGGATGGAAGATATTATTCAATAGATTTAATCAATCGAAATGCCAACAGCATGGAATAATCATGTTAGACTGTCAGCTAATCAGCAAACAATATAAAAACTTGCAAATAATTGAATGATCACAGTTATATAATTTTCATCCATCAAACCATATTAAACAGTTAACAATTAAAATGATTCGAACAACTTTTTTCATCGCACTTTTTGTCTTGGTCTCTGCTGCCAGTTTTTCCAATGAAAATGAATGGGAATCATTCAAGGTAAGTTGTTTAACGAGCAAAACTGCTGATAAATAGCTGATTTCCCGTTTGACTTTTCATTATTTGATAGGCCAAGCACAACAAGGTTTATGCGGACGAAAGGGAAGAAGCTTGGCGAAAAACAGTTTTCTTAAACAACTTGAAAAAAATCAAAGCCCACAATGAAAGAGCTAACAATGGTGAACACACTTATCGCTTAGGAGTCAATAAATTTGCTGATTTGGTAAGTTCATTATTCAGTAAACTATTCAATGAATTGATTCACAATATTTTTCTTAATGAATAGACCTATGAGGAATTTAAATCAGCTTATCTGGGCTTCAAAAAGAGTCATTACTCTACCCCTGTTGTCCACAATGTCAACAAAACTGTTCAACTTCCAGCCTCAGTTGACTGGCGAACGAAAGGAATTGTAACCGAAGTCAAAAATCAAGCTAAATGCAAGTGTTGTTGGGCCTTTTCAGCTATAGCTTCCATTGAATCCGCAAATGCCCAAAAAACTGGGTAAATTGGTTGAGCTTTCAGAGGAAAATTTGATTGAATGCTCTTGGGATCACCACAATAAGGGGTGTAATGGTGGTCGTATGGACTTATCATTCCAATATGTTATAGATAACAAAGGTATTGCTACCGAAAGTTCTTATCCATACACTTCAGCTTCAGGAGACGACAGTGGTAAATGCAAATACTCAGCTTCCAAAAGAGGGGCTTCAATCTCATCATACGTCAATATTCCGCAAGGTAATGAAAATGCCCTTCTCCAAGCCGTTGCTCAACGAGTTGTTTCAGTTGCCGTAGATGCTGAGTTTGACTTGCAGTTATATCAGTAAGTAATTGCATTCACAATTTGATCATCTCAAATAGATCGAAAGAGTAATAAATCAATTATTTTCTCACTTTGAATAAAGTTCTGGTGTTTTAAAGTCAACCGTATGCTCACCTCAGGCTCTCAACCACGGTGTAACCGTTGTAGGTTATGGTGTTGATAATGGTACTCCTTACTGGCTGATCAAGAACAGTTGGGGAGCTGATTTTGGTGAAAATGGTTACTTCCGATTGTACCGAGGTAACAACATGTGTGGTGTTGCTGAAGATGCTTCATATCCAGTTGTCTAAAGGATTTACTGAAAATTAATTTGAACCAGCAAAACTGAAAAAATTTGTCAATAAAAATATCACTCACTCTGGCACATAAGAATATCAATAAAATCGTCTTTCAATAAATCTCAACTAATTTTTAATTCACTCGAAAAAATTTGCTCAAGTGCTTGCAACCAATGCTTTCCATCCACTCAAGATTGTTCTAATTTCATGTTTTGTTCCTACCTTGAACAAACCTTTGAATATGATCACTAATGGGACAGAAGAAAAGTTTTTACAGGAAGTAATCAGGTTATTTGTAATTTAATTAAGTTATTGTATTATATTTGCGAATAAATTCAATGGGTATTCGTCCTTTTCTACCTCGAAATTCGATCATTACTTTTCAAAGTGCATAAAAACCCAGAACTTCCCTTGTAAGATTTGGTTTGCTAATTGATGAAACTGAGCTGAAGCTGAAGTCGTATGGTCTTGAGTCAAAATTAAACTTAATGTTAGCAGTTCGTACTATGAAAGGTACTTGAATCCACATCGGTAACCATTAAGTGACTTGAAAGTGAATAACTTTTCGATTTATTCCTTCATATCGCCTTTTTGAACGAATCCAGTCAAAGTACTGAAACTCTTGTCACACGAAACAGTCAATGAGACTCCATGAGCATTGACAAACTTAACTGATCGATCAGTTGACTTTGTGTCTGGAACCAAACCATAAATGAATGTTTCCATCTGCCTTTCAGATTCCTTTTTCATCATCATGACTCTGTTTTGCTTTTCACTATCATAAAATGATTCTTGATTTTCTTGCCAGCAATCAAGGAATGATAATTGATGAATAAGTGTTTCCTGTAAATTTGGAGCAACAACGGCCTTGATATCATTAAAACCAAAAGTAATGGGAACATCATCATCGATGGTAGCCAAATCAATGCTTATTGAACTTTTAGTAACTGGAGCAATTTGGTTGCTATTTGCAGTCACATCTAGTTTCCAGTTGCAGCGAAATCGTAGTTGGGCCCAAATGGTATCGATTCCAGTTGGGTTTATCTATTTTATCGCCATCAGATGAACAATAAAAGTTATACGGTTTACCTTTCACATTGAAACCAAGTGATGATGTAACGAGTTCAAGTCTTAATGGACTCAGTTTTATGCCTTTTCAAGCCCACGAAGTCCCAACTCTTAACTTGAAAGGAAATTTTTTGCATTTACACCTTGATTGTGATTTGCAGTAGCTCAAGTTTAATTAAACTTTTGTAACTTTTGTTGCATATTTCAATAAAGAGGGTGTTTAATTGTTTTAAAATGTCATTTTTAATCGAAAGTTACAATTCATATTGAAACCAGTTTATCAGAAAATTAATCATCTCAATGCATCAAACGCTGATTAATCACGAGTTGGAACCTCAAAATAATGCATGGCGTTTTTCATAAAATAGTCACAGAATGGATAATCTCTCTAACTTATTCAGTTTACTTGTAAGATAAAAAATCATGATTTTATTTTGTAAAACTTTGTATTTGACTTATTAACCATCTCTTGCTTGCCGAAATTTGATTAAAAAGACATTTAGCTCAATATGCAATGTGATTATATTTTTCTATCTGTTTTACTTACAATTTAGTACAGAAATAAGTACTGTCGATCTGCCCACGGATGCTCCTCGAACAAACATATAATAAAAAATCATTAAAAAATTGACCAGAAAATAGTGAGCATTTGACATGCTCCTTATTCGTCAATTAAGATAAATTCATAATGTTATCAGTATTGATCAGTAAAATCGTTTGTACACCACGAATCTGGCTCCATAATAGACCGAATGTGGTCAGAAATGCGAACTGTGCATGGTTTCATCCATAAAGAAAAAACCAGAACCTTTGCTTGTGCTGCCTACTTACCAGAGTTTCAACGGTAGCCAAAAGATTCTGGTAATGATAAAATATTATCTAATCTATTGATTTAGAGGTTTTATCAATTTTTCTATTACAGTCAACCAAGTAATTAGATACGATATTTTTAGTTTTTATTGTTTAAAAATTCATAAATCATAAACCAAATCAACTGTTTTTGATAAGTTCAATATCTTTAATTTTAAATGAGTTATCTATTAATTTACTTATTTATTCAAGGCGTCTCTACTTTGCAGGAACTTTTTATACAATATTATTGACTAGTATAAAAGGCTATTTGATGAATATTTAATTCATTTTCAGCAACAGTAGTTTGTAACAAATTGTTGCAATTAACTGTTTTTCTATTTAATTCTGTATTACATCTCCATTAAAATGTTAATCAAACTTTTAATTGTTTTTACATTGTTTACAACAATATCAACAAGTAAGAATTTAAAATAAAACTCAATCGTCTTAACCTAACATGCACGTATATTTCTTAATTAATAGTCAGTACCCACAGTTTGGTGGACTTGCCATTAAAAGTACCTAATGGAGGTCCAGTGATTAATGCTACTTTAACGGATGTCGTGAGTTGAACAATCAATTAATTGTCGATCAATCTAACTTTTAATTTCATCTCTCAGAATGGATTTAAAAAGTATTTTATACAAGAGTTGATATCAGCTTCTGGAAAAAGCATCAAAGGTAAAATTTTAATCTCAGACGACAAGGATTCCTACTCAGTACACTATAAAGCTGATTCTCAAACTGGTGTGGACAGCAAGGAGG